TTTGCAATTCCTTAACAAGAAAACCAAATTCTTTTCTAGCTTTCAGCATTTTAGGAGGTAATTCTTTATAAATTCCAATTCGTGAGCCCCCCACTTGCACAGAAGTATAAAAGGATTTTTGCAGGATATCGTTTCTTATTTCTCTATCTGTAAAATATATGACCACATCTCTAGGTAATTGTCTTTGTCTGGCCACCCAGGAATTCACTCTGTAAATTTTGTCTATTTTGTGAAAAACCACATCAGGATTAACTTGTATAATCTTAGCCAGGGCCTCAGAACAAACTTGTCTCAAATCCTGTCTTTCCTCCTCTCGAATTCCTCGAAGCCGTATAGCAAACTCCATTGCCCTGAATTGTATCATGACAATCTCGTTTTCAACTCTTTGCATTTTATTGTCAACATCAGCAATTTTATAATCATTGTCTTTCATCTTAACATTAACTTCTGATTTAAGTTCTTCAACTTTAAAATCAACTTTCCCGATAAATTCTGCCAGGCCAGATGCCACTTCTGATATTTTTTTGGTCACCTTGTTTTGGTTCTGTTTCACCATATCTTTAACTTCATTAATTTCCTGCATAAATTCCTGATGTGATTTTTGAAGTTTATCATCTATCTCCTGTTGAGATTTTTGAAATTTATCATCCAAAGTTTTAGAAATAAATTCTTTTAAATCTCCCACATCAAATTCTTTTTTCTGAGTCTGTAGCTGTTGAGCAGGGGGAAGCTGCGTTTCATGTTTGTGTGTGGGGGATCCCCCCCCTGTTGCCTTCCCTTCCTGCTTCTTTGAAGCCATCCTGCCACGTAGTCTAGTTTTTCTAAAGAGGGAAGTTCCTTTTCCTTTTCCTCCTGCACAAAGACTTCTAAAAAAGTCCCCCAGATTTGATCAGGTAAAAGCTGGAGTAAAGCAAAGTCAAGTATTGAAAAGGGAGAAATTTTTCACTTGTTTCTCTTATTACAAACAAGGCAACTTTGTAGCAACTTGGAAACTTTGTAACAAAGCAAGATAACTTCACCAATCCACACTCGCTGGCTCGTTAACTCTAAGGCTGAGCGCCATGTTTTTTCAAAGCACTTTCACTCGTTCGCATTTTTCTCAGATTAAAAAATCAACAAAGCGCTAATACTTGCGTTTCCAAGTTTCAGGGTTCAGATAGTTTCGCTGTTTATTAAAGCTGGTTCTTTTCCCTTTGAGTTTCCTGCAGCCGGCTTGTTCTGCAAAAGCAGAATCGTCCCACGTCGCCCGGAGTTTCAGCAGGTTGGAAGGGAGCCGCGCCTGTTCTCTCCCCAGAAACAATTCCCTGGGGGGTTACAGTGGCTCGACCTGTACCCTGCGATCTCTACTTCAGCAATCCTGTGGATTTTGAAGTTTTCGAGCCGCTTCTGGATCGCGAAGCGGCTCTACAGGCGGAGGGGCTGGCGGAGCTTCAAAAGGCACCGCCGTCGCCAAAGACAGGGAAACCGGAAGTCCTTTGGAAAATAGCTTGACCCCCTCCTCTCTGCCCCTCAAATATTGGAGCACTGGTACCCTGTCTCCCCTGGTCCTTCTCTTCACTAGACTAGCCATGCCCAGTTCCTGCACCCGTTCATCGTATGTTTTAGCCTCCAGTCCCCTCATCGTCTCAGTTGCTCTTCCTTGCACTCTTTCTAGAGTCCCAAGATCTTTGTTACATCTTGGCAACTAATACTGGATGCAAAGTTCCTAAGTGTGGTCTTACCAAGGCATTCTAAAGTGGCACTAATACTTCATGTGATCTTGATTCTATCCCTTTCTTAATGCAACCTATGATTCTGTTGGGTGTTTCTTGGCAACTGTAGCACACTGCTGGCTCACGTTTAAGTGATTGTCCACTAGGACTCCAAGATCCCTGTTCCACTTACTACTTTTGAGCCAGGCATCACCTATTCTATGGCAGTGCATTTGGTTTTTCTTTCCTAAATGTAACACATTACATTTCTCACCATTGAATTTCATTTTGTTAGAAGGTGCCAATCTGTCAATCCCTCTATATCTCGAGCCTATTTTGTGCAGTGTTGGTATTCCTGCCAATTTGGTCTTGTCTGCAAATTTGATGAGTTCCCCTTCAACCGCCTTGTCTAAATCATTGATGATGATGAACAGATCTTGCGAATCTTCCTGTTCTGTTCTTTTTTCCGTGTTCAGGAGAGTCTTGTGTCCTTTGAGGAGGTGGCTGTCTATTTCTCTGAGGAGGAATGGTCTCAGCTGGATCCTGACCAGAAAGCGCTGCATTCGGAAGTCATGCTTGAAAACTATAGGAACGTGGTCTCTCTGGGTAAGAGTTTTCTTGTCCCAAATCAGAGAGTTCAAGAAGACAGATTATATCTGTGTAACATTAAAAGTGTAATAGATGATAAGTGGGATAAAATCAAAGATAAATTGATAAAGTTTAAGATATTAAGAATCGAGGAAAGGGTCAAGAGATTAAGAATTAGATACAACTTGGTCTTATAAAGTGTAATAAAAATGGAGTGGTATGGAATTTGAAATCAAGATCTGTGGTGATAAAATTGTAGGGTAAATAATTAGAATAAGAGGTTAGAATATTGTTAAAAAAATTTTTTGATGCTGATCGCTTAGCTGATGCTAAGGTGAAGAAGAACAAGATATAATTAAGATTGAAATATAGATATAAAAATGAGTGAGAGTTAATTTGAAATTAAAATTGTATTGATATAATGGATTTGTTTAGAGGAAGATGTTAGAATTTATGTTAAAACTTGTTCTTTTATGTTTTGAATTTTTATTTGTAAAAGATGTAATGGGAAATTGTGAACGGAGCTTGTTAAAGAAATGTAAGCGTGGTAACCATCTATGACCAGATCGAGACTCTGCTCTTGAAAGCTATATTTTATGTTTAAGTTTGAAAAAAAAATATTTACAAAAAAAAAAAAAAAAAGAAGATAGATTATACTTACTTTTTATTTAAAAAATCACTAATCAGATATTGTCTCCTGGGAGGGAGAAGGGAAGTATCTGGCCTTGTCGTACCCCAAGGAAGGAAAGAGTCAGTGTCTCTTTGCTGAGGTCCTTTTGGGGCATTCCTTATCTGTATTTTTCCATTTCTATTTGAACTTATCTGTGGAGGCTGAGAATAATGAGGTGTGCTTTTATGTGTCCTCTGGAGATCATGTGAGAAGAATGTGTTTGTCATTTGTTCTCTGAAACCTCCCCAAATTGTGTGGGAATAGAACTTTCACGCTCGGGCCATGGAAGAGCATTCTCCCAATCCAATTCAAGAACAAAGGCCTCATGAAATATGACTCAGAGCATCCTAGGATACAGGTGATCTCCAAGTTACGACAGTTCACTAAGCAACCATACCAGCCCTCTCCTAGTCCTGAAATAATGAATGTTACAGCACCACAGCCGTCATTCACACTTACAAATGACAGGCGTTGCAACAACAATCATCCTACCTGCACCCCCACCCCACCCTGCTCGGACTTATGTTACGAGGCCGTAGCGAGCCATCGGTTCCTTTGCCTGCTTGGGTACATTTGCAGAAAAAAAAGGCCTAAATTACTGAGAGATACACAAGATCAATAGTGGGAAATCTGGCACTACTGATCTCACATGATCTTACACTACAATAGTTTAGGCCTCTGTTCTCTTCTCACCAAGGCCTGCACGAGATCCAGGGCAAAATGCTTTGGAAACAAAGGAGAGGCCTCTTTGTTTTCAAAGACTTTTGCCCTGGATCTCGTGCAGTCCTCAGTTTGTAGGGAACACAGGACTAAAGTACTGCAGCCTGAGATCCCGCAAGATCATTAGTGTGAGATCTTGCACTTCTCGTGTGATCTCGCACTAAAGTAGTTTAGGCCTCTGTTCTCTGCCATCAGAAGCCTGAACCAGACCCGGCCAAAAAGCCTTTGTAAGCTGATGAGACTTTGGGGCAGCAAAATAGCCATTGTTGAAGCCTCCCAATCTTTCCAGTCTCAGCGCGATGAGCGTTTACAAGCCAATGGGAGGCTTCAATCAAGGGACTTCGCTCCGAAGTCTCATCGTTGGGATCAAGGAACGGGCCGAGCGGAAGTCCTGTCTGCCAGACAGATGCGGTGGAGTACCTGCTCCAAGGTACACCGGGGAAGAAGGAGCTTTTTTCAAAATGGTTTCAGTTCTCACAGGTCTCTGCTGAAATTAACCCAGCCCAATAAATCTTAAGTTTTCTCCTTATTCCTCGTTGGGTGTTTCCCCTGTTTATTCCATGACTCAAAACAGACTTTGATTGAGATTTGCACATATATAGATAATTGTAAAGAAAGAGATGTTTTCTAGATATTTTCAAAGCTTTCAGAACTCATGAATATAGAAATCATCCTGTCTATATCACACCACTGTAAGCATGCAAATGTAAAACTTAAAAGAATTTTGGAAAAATTCAGAAGGAAATTCATTTGACTTTGTACAGTTTGATCATTTTCTCTAACCTTGTTACCGTTTTCATTTCTCTTTTGCTTTGAAGGTAATAATGGGCAGGAGAATCAAGATTCCTGTGAACTGCTCCAAATGATCAATGCTAAAGATGGAACGGAGAAGTTTGGAATTCGAATGGAACCAGAAACCCATGATAGAAACCAGTCAAATGATTGGAATCAGGAAAGCTCATCTTCTACCGATGCTCTGATGCAAGACTTTCTTGCCCAACAGGAGAAAATAAGGAAAAAATATATTGGGGAAAGTGTGAAGCCAATCAAAGCTAAATTACAAGTAAAAGAACACTATATAAGCCAAAACAAAGGAGAAGATGCTATAAGAAGACACAACAGACAAAGTTCCAATGGGACATTCATTCCTTCTCTTGGAAATAAGTTCCTTACATCTCAAAAAGTGATAGACACAAAAGAGAAGCCTTACAAATGTTTGGAATGTGGAACATGTTTTAGAACAAGCAGGCAACTTACTTCCCATAAGAGGATCCGCACAGGGGAGAAGCCGTATAAATGCATGGTGTATGGAAAGACGTTTGGTCAAAGAGGTCATCTTATTTCCCACAAAATGATCCACACAGGGGAGAAGCCATATGAATGCATGGAGTGCAAAAAAACCTTTGCTCGAAGAAGTAGTCTTATTTCCCATAAGAGGATCCACACAGGGGAGAAGCCGTATAAATGCCTGGAGTGTGGAAAGGCCTTTGCTCGAAGAAGTAATCTTATTTCCCATAAGAGGATCCACACAGGGGAGAAGCCGTATAAATGCATGGAGTGTGGAAAAACCTTTGCTCAAAGAGGTCATCTTATTTGCCATGAAAGGTTCCACACAGGGGAGAAACCGTGTAAATGCATGGAGTGTGGAAAGACGTTTGGTCAAAGAGCTCATCTTATTTCCCACAAAATGATCCACACAGGAGAGAAGCCGTATAAATGCATGGAGTGCGAAAAAACCTTTGCTCGAAGAAGTAGTCTTATTTCCCATAAGAGGATCCACACAGGGGAGAAGCCGTATAAATGCATAGAGTGTGGAAAAACCTTTGCTCAAAGAGGTAATCTTATTTCCCATAAGAGGATCCACACAGGGGAGAAGCCGTATAAATGCATGGAGTGTGGAAAAACCTTTGCTCAAAGAGGTAATCTTATTTCCCATGAAAGGTTCCACACAGAGGAGAAACTGTGTAAATGCATGGAGTGTGGAAAGACGTTTGGTCAAAGAGGTCATCTTATTTCCCACAAAATGATCCACGCACGAGAGAAGCCGTATAAATGCATGGAGTGCGAAAAAACCTTTACACGAAAAAGTAGTCTTATTTCCCATAAGAGGATCCACACAGGGGAAAAGCCCTATAAATGCATAGAGTGTGGAAAAACCTTTGCTCACAAATGTAGTCTTATTTCCCATAAGAGGATCCACACAGGGGAGAAGCCGTATAAATGCATGGAGTGTGGAAAGACCTTTGCTAAGAACTGTGACCTAAGAGCACATGAAAGTTTCCACACAGGGGAGAAACCGTATAAATGCATGGAGTGTGGAAAGACGTTTGGTCAAAGAGGTAATCTTATTTCCCACAAAATGATCCACACAGGGGAGAAGCCATATGAATGCATGGAGTGCAAAAAAACCTTTGCTCGAAGAAGTAGTCTTATTTCCCATAAGAGGATCCATACAGGGGAGAAGCCGTATAAATGCCTGGAGTGTGGAAAGGCCTTTGCTCGAAGAAGTAATCTTATTTCCCATAAGAGGATCCACACAGGGGAGAAGCTGTATAAATGCATGGAATGTGGAAAGATGTTTTCTGAAAGAGCTCATCTTATTTGCCATGAGAGGATCCACACAGGGGAGAAGCCATATAAATGAACGGAGTGTGGAAAGGGCTTTCCTCAGAAAGTTAGTCTTACTTCTCATAAAAGGATCCACGCTCAGGAGAAACTGCGTAGCAATAGTAATTCCACTTAGACTTATATACCAGTCTATAATGCTTTGTAGCACACTTTGGCAGTTTACAAAATCAGCATATGGTCTCCAGCAATCTGGGTCCTCATTTTAACCACCTCAGAAGGATGAAAGCTGAATCAACCATGACCCTGTCAGAATCAAACTTATGGCTGTGGGCAATTAGCCTATAGTACTGCGTTCTAACCGCTGATCCACCACCATAGATTTTGATTTGTATGCATATTGTGCCTTTCGGATCCAAACAAGACAAGGTAGAATCCAACAAAATGAAATTTAATGTGGAGAAAAGTAAGCTTTTACATCTGGGCAGGAAAACAGATTACCTGAAACCTGGCTGGAAAATAGTAACTGTGAAGGGTCCTTGGAGTCGGAATGGATGATCAATGAAGTATGAATCACCTGTGTGCGGCAGCAGCCAAAAAAATGAATACAATCCTTGGTTGTATAAACAGAGGCATAGAATAAAAATAACATGAAGTATTAGTACCGCTTCATAAAGACTTAGTAAGACCACCCCTGGAATACCGCATCCTGTTTGGGTCATCACATTGCAAAGCAGATGTTGAAACTTTGGAAAAAGAGCAAAGAAGAGCAGCTAAGCTGATTAAAGGCCGGAAGACTAAAATAAGAACTATTATAGGAACTGGGCATGGCTAGTCTAGTGAAGAGAAGGACCAGCGGAGACAGGATAGCAGTGTTCCAATATTTGAGGGGCTGCCACAGAGAGGAGAGGGTCAATGTCGGATATGCTTCCTTCAAAGTCCAAGAAAGAATGACCCACCATTTCCAAGGCAGCCAAAGCAGTAAAAGGCGACTATTTTCCAAGGCACCTGAAGGCCAGACAAGGAATAATGGATGGAAACTTATCAAGGAGCGATTCTACCTAGAAATAAGGAGAAATTTTCTGACAGAACAATCAACCAATAAAAGAGCTTGCCTTCGGAGGTTGTGGGCGCTTCATCGCTCGTGGCTTTCAAGATGAGATTGGACTGCCATTTGTCAGAAACAGTGTAGGGTCTCCTGCTTGGGCGGGGGGTTGGACTAGATGAATGACAAAGTCCGTTCCAACTTTCCAAACCACCAGAGGGCAAGATAAGGAACAATGGATGGAAACTAATCAAGGAGAGAAGCATCTTGGAACTTTCTTACGGTGAGGACAATTCACCCGTGGAACAGCTTCCCTTTAGATAGCGTGGGTGCTTCCTCACTGGACACTTTTAAGAAGAGACTGGACAGTTTCAAGTAACTCTCTCTGATGAGTATATCCACTAGAGCAGAGTTGCAGGCAGAAATGCAATTAGTCCTGAATCCCTTACTATTAATTTCAGCTTTTCTTACTTTGCTTAGTATTATCACAGTCTGCCTTTCCACCATTTCACTTTATACAAGTAATAACTGAGAAAGACAACCATAAGGAGAACGGGGTTGTAGTGATGCTGAGTTAGAAAATGCAACTCATAGGCTCTTTGTACTAATTTTGTGGTGATCTTTCCTTGCCTTCCCTCGTGTTGCCCATCTCTGGACTCACACAATCTTATCAATACATTTTTTAAAGTGAAGTCTCCAGAACTGGACACAGTATTCCAAATGGAGTCTCACTAAAGCCCTATGTAGAGGGATAGGAGCTCCTTTTTGCTGAGGGTGGTACATCTGGTGATGCATCTCAGAATTTTGTTTGCCTTCCCAGCTGCCTGGCTACACTGCTTACTTATGTTGCAGTTATCATCGTTTCAGTGCCATGGCAACTATTTTCACAGAGTTGTGTAAAAGAAGGGAAGAGAAAGCAGTGGTAGGGATATGTGGTTGCATATTAAGTTCCCATAGGTAGGCAGCCTGCTGGCCAACCCAGGCAGTCCCTGATTTACAATAATTTATTAAGTAACCGTTTGAAGTTCCAATGGCAATAAATGATGGCTCTGATCTCCCCCCCTCCCAAATTAGGCCTACTCCAGGATATGAGAATGAAAACCACTCTGGTGTGCTAACATTGCAAAGGATCAATCAAGAAGGAAGATATTTGGAAATCAATGGGGACCAAAATAAGATGAAATTAAGAACTACTTCAAAAAATTACTTCAGTCCTTCCTGATGAAACATGCAGAAATGCGAATGGGAACTTTCTCTGGGATATCCAGATACCAAAAATAATCCAGCCTGCCAACAAAGGAGACAATGTGTAGCTCATGGTTGAAATGAGGGGTCCTTGGTGGTCTCTGAGCTTGATTGTGTTGTTGCAGACCTTTCATTAGCCAAACGAGGGACGATCATCACTGCACCAACCAACCTCAGAGGGCACCAAGGACCCCTCAATCCAACTTGCATCCACTGTGTCAAATTAATCACTGTCAACGAGGATGAATGCAGAATCAAGGAACCGTTTTAGGCCAAAGACCTCTTAGGATGTGATGGAATAATGAGAGATGTCTGTAGACTGCATGCAGAAAGCTTCAGGGTGAACAATTTGCCTTTCAAGCAAGAGGCCGGAATGAACAGAAGGAAACAAATGCATGGGGAAAATTTATTTTTCAAGCATTAGGGCCACATTCTTCTATTTTTATGATGTGTCATAACATTAAGTAACTTAAAATTAACTATCAGTCATGTAGTTACTTGCTAAAGATGCATAAAATTCTCAATGGAGCCTTCAGCTTTCCTTGTTTTGCTTTTGCTTTTTCGTTTTCATTTTCTCTTTTCATTTATGGTCTAATGATATATCCCTGTATTCAATTCTCCAAGGGCCTTAAGTTTCCTAATCACATTTCTTGAGGTGAATTCCCTACTCAATCCCTATGTAAAAATGGTTTTTCCTCCTCATAGTTTAGCTTTCTATTCCTTTTTCAGGATCTTCCTTTTCTTTCATCAGAAGAGACCGGAGGGGTCCCTGCCCTTTCTCCTCCCCCCTTTGCTGGGAGGCTGAGCGAATAGTGTGGGAAGGGCAGCTGCATGTATTGAATTAAATAAAAAAGAAATAAAAACATTTTCCTGATTGTGGCCTTCCTGCCTGTGTTCCATCTGCCTCCCAACAACCGCAAGACACAAGCTGTCTTTCCCACAGAGCCTCCTGGTCCTTCTCTTCTGGCTGTTTCTGACAGGATTTGGACCCTTTGGAGGCCTCCCACAATCTCTGCGGAGCATTCAGGGCGGCTGTTCTTGAGGGAAGAGAGTTCAAATCCTCCAGAGAGATTTTTCTCCATCTCCACAGACGGTTCCAGGACAGGAAGGAAAGGAAGATGGAGAAAGAAATTGAGAGGGCCGTTTCCTCCTACTCTCATGCCCATCATCCCTGCCCTCTCCCTTCCCCTCAGACGCGCTCCTCTTTCCCGCCCTTCCTACAATCCTGGCACTTTGCCCCTAATCCACCAGGGGGAGCTCTCTGCTAAAAGAAGGTAGGGTCATGCGCTTCCCCATTGGTCCGCTGGATGGCGAATGTCACAGCTGCTTTTCCATAGGAGGCTGGGAAGGAAATGACATCACAAACTTGCCGCTCTAGGACTTCGCACTCGCTCTCTTTAACTCCTGGGGCTCCATAGGAGGCGGAGAGGTTACGGGAGAGTCTGGCGGGGGGAGATCCAGACGTTCCCCGGGTGAGTTGGGGGCTCTTCCCGGGCAAAGGGAGGCAGAGGAGGGAGAGACCCACGCCCAGCCTTCCTCCAGCTTCCACCCCGGGTTCCATGCTCCCCAGCCGCCCTCTCCATGCAGGGGGATCCTTCCCGCCCCCTGTCTGAGGAAGAGCCCGAGTGGGGGGAGGGGAGGGTCTGCCTTGCGGAGGCCCAGCAGGAGGGGAGTGAAGCCGGGCGAGGAGGAGGCAGGATTCGCACCAGGCTCCCTGTCTCCGGAGGGGGAGAGAAGCGGGGCGGCCTCTCCAGCTGCCTCCTTCCCGGCCCTGCTCGGGGGCACCTCAGTCCTGCGCTGGGATGAGCCTCTTGGGGCTCCGGGGAGGTTGGGGGAAGGTCGCTCAGTGGCTGAATTCCACTTTCTAATTCTTAATATTTATTTTTTCTTCCCATCTCAGATACAGAAACTGGAAGCCATTTGTGGTCTTTGCAAGGCAAACTTTCCTCTTGGGGAAAAAAAAGAGCGGAATATTTTGGAAAATAAAAAAATCAGAATCCCTTGGAGGGATCAGTCCTGCAGCCCCAGAAATGGTCCCGTGAAGGAAAAGGCACCTGGAGACCCACCAGAGTCCTTGGAGCCATTTGCAGTTGCTCTGCAGGACAGAGAAAGGATGGAGACACAACCTTTTGGAAAGGAGGGAAGCGGAAAAGGCCCTTCAGCTGCTCAGCCTCAGAAGGGGCGGAAGCTCTGGACAAGGACTGGGCAGGAGATCCTGGAGGAGGAAACCGTCCTCCCTTCAGAAGTTCAGCCCTGGACCTCCATCCAATACCAGGAGGCTGAGGGTCCCCGAGGACTTTGCAGCCGACTCCATGGCTTTTGCAGGCGATGGCTGCGACCAGAAAAGCACACCAGAGCTCAGATGCTGGACCTGGTGGTTCTGGAGCAGTTCCTGGCTCTTCTGCCCCCAGAGATGGAGAGCTGGGTGCGGGAGTATGGAGCAGAGACCAGTTCCCAGGCGGTGGCCCTGGTGGAAGGCTTCCTCCTGAGCCAGGTGGAGGAACAGAAGGAGCAAGTCGAGTTGCAGGTAAGAGTTCAATAGAGAATAGAGAATCTGTTTGAATACTTCACCCCTCCTTCCCAAACCTCTCTGACATTCATAATATGTGGCAATATCCCACGTATTCTAGTAAGACATTGTTCCATTGTTTTCTCATATTTCTCACATAACCACATTGATGGATATTGGGGGCTTTGAGGTTGTGTTCCGAATATAGGAATCCATTTTACGTCATCGTATGATGTACATTAATTCTGTTTCTTCCTTCTTCCTATTGGAAGTGCTGCACTGTGGAAATCAGAGATCCTGAGGGAAAGAAGAACCCATCAAATCCTCCCCAGGAGCTATTTTTCAGGAGGATTCTTTGGAAGGATCAAAGTCGGGACACTTTAGGAGGTAACTGAAGATCCTCCGATTACCCATCTGTCTTACCTTCACTCTCTCTTCTTTCCTATACAATATCTCCTCCTATTTATACTTCTCCACACTAATTGCATCTACAGATAATTGCCCAGCGACCCTCTTCAGGTGAGCCTACTGCTCTTGGGGGAAGGAGGATATTGAGGTCCACCGAGAGAACCTTAGAGGTCTTCTAGTCCAACCCACTGCTCAAGCAGGAGATCCTATCCCATTTCAGACAAATGGTTGTCCAATCTCTTCTTAAAAACCTCCAGTGTTGGAGCACCCACAACGTCTGGAGGCAAATCTTTCCACTAGTTAATTGTTGTCACTGTTTCTCTTTAGTTCTAAGTTGCTTCTCTCCTTGATTAGTTTCCATCCATTGCTTCATGTTCTGCCTTCAGGTGCTTTGGAGAATAGCTTGACTCCCTCTTCTTTGTGGCAGCCCCTGAGATATTAGGACACTGTTGTCATGTCATTCCTGGTCCTTCTTTTTCATTAAACTAGACATACCCAATTCCTGCAACTGTTCTTCATATGTTTTAGCCTCCAGGCCCCTAATCATTTTTGTTGCTCTTCTCTGCACTCTTTCTAGAGTCTCAACATCTTTTGTATATCGTGACAGCCAAAACTGGTGCAATCATTTCACTTCTCATCCAAGAAGCTTCTTTAGTTCAGTTCTTCTTCAGTTATGAACTGAAGAAGCTTCTTGAATGAGAAGCAAAACATTTTCAAGGAGAAACCAAGGAAGTCCCATTGCTTTTTGAAAAGCACTTTGGGATAATTTCTATTCCTGCTTATTTCTGAAATGTTCCCCTGTTCACTCAATGGAACTATCTTACTTGTCAGAAAGTGCATATAGAACTGTGCAAATGGCATATTACAAATAAATGGACTTGGTTTTGAAAAAAAGCAAGCACAAAGTCTTTTACAACGCAGAGGAACAATCTTGAATTAAATTCAGACTTAGTTCTAGACACTAATTCGCTGGTTCCTAGCTTTGCATGCTATTCATAACCAAGAAACCTGTTTACCAACTACACAGTCCACAAAGCTGAAACAAAGCACAACTGACATCTCTTTTGCTTAAAATGCTGAGGTATTTGTGGTTTTTCTGGGAGGCAAAATCGCTCGACTTTGTTCCCAGTTGGATGCCAGCGTGGTTGCTGGTCCGGTGGAAGCCTCTGAGACAGGATCTTGCTCTGATATCGAGGAACGGTTTGACCCTGTTGCTCCTGAGGTAGTGGACAGGATCTTAGGGAGTATGGGTGGGTGCAACACCTGTGTTTTAGACCCATGCCCCGCCTGGCTTGGGAAAGCTTCCCGGGAGATGACAAGTGGGTGGACGCTGGCGGTCATTAATGCTTCCTTACAGGAGGGGGCAGTGCCCCAGCATTTGAAGGAGTCTGTGGTCCACCCTCTTCTTAAGAAGCCATCCCTGGATTCCACCCTGTTGAATAATTTCCAACCTGTCTCCAATCTTCCCTTTTTGGGGAAGGTGGTTGAGAAGGTGGTTATGCAGCAGCTCCAGAGGTTGTTTGAGCATATCTTGGTGACGTTTCGACGAGGTCCCTGTCAGGGCATTGATTAATCCCATCATTGGCTCTGGGACAATCACCCTGGTTAATTAGAGGATGGGTTTCTCCAAGTTGCAATATTCTGAAGTAAAACCCGAAGAAATATTTTCTAATAAAACTCATTTATTTGTTGTAAAGAAAATAAAACATCTCACTAACTAAGAAAAATAATTGTTACATTTTGAAATAGTTCGTGCCAGCTGGCAAGAGAACAAAGGAAAAAAGTGTGTGAAGGAAGTGAAAGAATGCGGATGCACGTAGCTTACTGATAAGAAGTTGGCAAGCTACGGAAAGTCAGACAGTCCAGAAATGATGAGCTCAGCTGGTAAATAAAATAACGCAGTGACAGTCCCACTCATCATTTTCAGGCTGGTGCACCAAAACTTGTGTGTGTGTGTTTGGGTATGTGTGTGTGTGTATATGTATATATATAATTTCCAACCTGTCTCCAATATTCCCTTTTTGGGGAGCTGGTGCGCTTATGCACTTGCCTTAGAGACCTCTTAGGAATGGGGTGAGGTCGACAGTAGACGGTCTAAGGTTAATGTTTGGGGGTTAGGGAAAGAAACCACAGAGTCTGGTAATGCATTCCAGGCATTAGTGACTCTGTTACTGAAGTCATATTTTCTGCAATCAAGTTTAGCGCAGTTTACCATAACTTTGTATCTATTGTGTGCTCGTGTATTGTTGTGGTTGAAGCTGAAGGAGTCATTGACAGGTAGGACCCCTGCCAGTCAAGATTCAGGCCTGGATTTGGGACAGAATCGTCATTGGCCACCAGGGTGGATTTGATTTAAATCAAACTGATTTAAATCACGATTTAAATCACTAGTCAGTAAGGCTTGATTTAAATCATAGTTTTCTACATAAAGACTAATTCTTGCTGGTATAACTTTAATATGCAAGTAGATTTTTAAAATAACAGCTTTTCATATTAGTTTTTTTATCCCCAGTTTAATAGGTTAATCATATTTGGACAACTTTTCTGTTGTACTTAGGAAGGAGAAAAATAATCATTACCTTAATAATAACAATTTAAATAGATTTATTCAACTGAAACAATAACATTACAGCATATGTTATTTGCTTAAACAAACATCCATGTTTGTTAACTAATTTGGCTAAACAAAATATATATATTTTAAGAAACTTAGACTGTCAGCCCAGCCTACACATGAAAAACTTAAATACTGTCCTCTGTAACTCATGCGTCATCTTCATCTTCTTCTTTGTTCATAATCTGGAAAAGAAAACCAAGCTTTCCTGCTTTATTGGGTCCCAAACAATTTCTTAATTTAGGATGAATGAGTCCAAAGGAAGAGAATATTATTTCATCGCCTGCAGAAGAAGCTACTGCTGTTAAAACTGAAATCATTACTTGAACAGTCTCTAAATCTAAGTGCTTAAGTGACTTCCACCAGTTCACTGGTGTGACTTTCTTTAAAATATCTTCAGCAAACATATATTTCTTGAATGGTTCCCCCTTAGCTTTGAAGTTTATTATAGTTGGCATTACGGATGGATGATTGCTGGATACCCATGTCATAGCTAACTCCTCTTCCTCAGCACTTAAGTTTTGACCCTGGTACTGGATATTGACAATATTTGCCAAAAAATGAGCTGGAGACAGTTATTGTCCCATTTGTTTTTTTAATGCTTGTAATTTAATTCTGTCCATGTGTAGTTCTGTTTTTAAGTGTTCACTCAGTTCCTTCCAAATTTCAACAGCATCAGCAATAAAACAGCTATTTTTCTATATTTTGTTTAAAGCTTCAGAGATGGGTTTCAGGATGCTCAGCATATGTTCAACATTTCTCTTAAGCCCAATCTTGAGGATTTTGGCCATGACAGTACCATCTATTTTATCTCGATTTTGTTCACAATCTGTCATCAGAATAGGCCAGTTCTTGATATACTGCTCAAAACAGTCCACCACAGAGTTCCATCTAACATCTTGTGGGAGCGTTAGCTTGGTTCCACCCATCCTTTTCAGAGCTGCTGCAGCAAAATGATTATTATTGAAGTATTTAGCAATTTCAAGAACATTAGTCTTTATTTCTGGAACACTTAAGTCTTTGGCTAAGAGGTGCAGCAAATGAGCACTGCTACCATATATTATTAGCTTTGTATTCTCTTCCTGCTCTTCTAAATTTCTTCCCATCTTGGATACATTTGCAGCATTGTCTGTGTACTAGACATTTGAATTTTTGTTCACATGTTGTTATAGCTTTTACTGCCACTTCTTGTAAGTATTCTGCTGTGTGTGCATTTCCTGACATATCAATTGTTTGTGCAAGGAAGACTTTCCCTTCTTCTGTTGTTATACAAGCACATACAATAGGATCATTGTGGACATTACTCCACCCATCAATACTTAGGTTAACAATTCTACCCTCCAGAGCTGTTGCACATTGCTCCATTTCTCTGTCATACACTTTATCCAGCAGTTTCCCTGCAACATCTGCTCTGCTGGGTGGACTGTATCCTGGTCTCAGTGACTGAACCATATTAATGAAATGTGGGTTCTCAGTCAGATGGAAAGAAGAGTTTGTTGCATAAACAAACTGGGCAATTTTTTCATCATTAACTCTTTTTCTAATCTGCTAGTTTTTATCACAAACTTATCTATGGTGGTTCCAGGAGGGAAAGGTTTTTTCTTTCTTTTAGGTGATAGTGATATGTGGCTGTGGGTGTCTGATGATGATGATGCTAATGAAGCACTATCCTGGATGGATGACTCTGAAACTGTAGAACAGGAGGATGGTGATCTTGAAGGTGGATAGTTTCCAGAATCCATGAATTCCCCTAAACAAAAAAGTCAATGCTGTTATTTTATTGTTTATACAATTTCTGCTTATTGTACACAGCACTGCCCCAAAAGGAATATTTGCTTTTCTTCATAACTGTACCAAATGACAGTAACATGCAGTAATAATAAGAAATATAATTTTGCTCAAACATGACAGTTCAAGGCAGTCTTTAGAAATACGATTCAGTAAAAATATTTACCAACCTGAAGATCCTGCCTGTTCAAATGTGTTTCTTTGGTCATCTTCATCACAGCACTTCTCATGATGTTGCCTCATTTGGGCCACCAGGCCTTGCATTTCTTTGTTGCAGTGTTTGCATTGTGCACGCATGCCTGCCTTACCGATAGGTAAAGGAACTTCATTAAAATATTGCCAAACTGGGTCTCTTTTATGGCCTGCTGTCATTATAGGTTTTTTCCTCCAAGGAAAGGATGTGATAAACCTCAGGTCATACATACAAAAAGATCCAAAGACTTGTCTGTCTGTGGCTGTGCAGTATTGTGCTCAGAAAGTTTCATTTTCATTTTGTACTGCTTGTCTGCTTGCCCCTTCCTCCTCACACTTAGTTTCACTTTCTTCTTGTGCAGATCTATTCCACTCCAAACAATCAGAAAAATATTGTTTCTATTCTATTCACTGAACTTCTTGAAACTTAGCACTGAAGGGGTTGATTCTGTATTCATAGGTTTTTATTTATTATTAATTTATTTATTAATTTTATTTCTATACCGCCCTTCTCCCGAAGGACTCAGGGCGGTGTACAGCCTGATTAAAAGCACAAGACAAACAAAATTTAAAAGTAGTTAAAATTATTAAATAAAAGGCTCAGTTACAAAACCCCAAATTTGAAATCCCTTTTTAAAAACCAATTAAAATCTTTATATTGATAGCCCCGCCTGGCAGAACAACAAGGTTTTGAAGGCACAGCGAAATACACGGAGATCAGAGATTTTACGAATTTCTGGGGGCAATTCATTCCAAAGGGCAGGGGCTCGTAGGGTTTGTAGAACAATAGGATTAAGGTCTTTTTCTCAACTCTGTTCATGTTATAACATTTTTGCTGTGAAGAAGGGGCATGTGATCTCTCCTGAGTCAAATTCAGTTTTGAGAACTGCAAAAGTAAACCAAGCATCTGTGATAATATCTTGTAGGCAGAGAAACTGCCCAATAATCTTACAAAAACCTCTGGAAGAGCATGACATTGTGAATGGATTAATGGAATTTATTTACCAAAAAAATTAAACATACAGCCTTATTCTACATAATTAAAAAACTAATCTTTATTTCATGATGGAATAACCTTTGGATGGTAATATATTTTCCTCAAAAAGCATTTTATTTAAAAAAATCCGATTTAAATCAAAAAAATCCGATTTAAATTTTAAAAATCTGTTTTTTTGATTTTTTTTAAAAAATCATTGATTTTTATCCAACTTGTTGGCCACACTTTTGTATGATCTCTGGCGAGAGCGGGATGTGAGTGGCGCATCCATCCTTGCTCTACTTGACCTCTCGGTGGCTTTCGATACCATCGACCATGGTATTCTCCTGGGACGGCTTCGCAGGATGGGAGTGGGAGGCCTTGTGCTATCCTGGCTCACTTCCTTCCTCTGCAGCCGTTCTCAGTCAGTGTTGATAGGAGGGGATAGATCCAGCCCTCATGCACTGCTTTGCGGGGTTCTGCAGGGCTCGGTACTCTCCGCTCCTGTTCAATATTTATATGAAACCGTTTTGTGAGATCATCTCCTAGCATGGACTGAGATATCACCAATATGATGATGATACTGAGCTGTATGCCTTGGCCCGTGGTGGGTTAAGCAATGCCGTGTCCTCCCTATCGCAGTGCCTGGAGGCTGTTAGGAGCTGATGGGGAGCAATGGGTTGAAACTAAAGCCTGGCAAGGTGGAGTGGCTCTGGGTTTGGGGCTCGTTGGCCAGGGGAGAATTACCACGTCTGGTCTTGGATGAGGTGACACTACCCCAAACACACCCTGTGCCTAATCTGTGGGTTCTCCTGGACTCACAACCCCTGCTTGAAAAGCAGGTGGCGGTTGTGTGCAGGAGGACCTTTGCGCAACTATGGGTTGTGCGCCAGAAACAGCCCTTCCTGAATCGGTAACAGTCACTGATGCCCTAATCACTTCCCATCTTAACTATTGCAACACACTCTACATGGGGCTGTCCTTGACGAGCATGTGGAAGCTCCAGTTGGTGCAAAATGCAGCGGCCCGCATGGTTTTCTGCAGACCCTGGTGTGCACAAGTAACACCTCACCTGCAGGAGCTGCATTGGCTGCCAATTTCCTTCCTGGTGCAATTCAAAGTGCTGGTTGTCACCTATAAAGCCCTCCATGGCTTGGGACCAGGTTATATGAGGGGCCATCTCTTATTAGTTACATCTGCCCAACCCACCAGAGTGCGGAGGGAGGGAATGTTGCGGGTGCCATCCCCTGGTGAGACCCAGAAGAAGGGTTTTCTCCGTGGCAGCTCCTTCTCTCTGGAACATCATCCCCCCAGAGATTAGAATGGCCCCCCACAGTAGCACTCTTCCAGAAGGCATTGAAGACCTGGTCCTGCCAGTGGGCCTGGGAAACCCAGAGCGGGGTGGAGCCCATTAAACGGCTCCTGTGAGATGCTTTTGCCGGGGGTGGGGGTGATTTTATTATTTTAATGTATTATATAATTCTCCTTTTATTAGTTTTATTATTTTAATATGGGTTTAATATTTTGTAAGCCACATTGAGTCGCCACGTGCGAATAGGCGGCATATAAATTGTCTAAAATAAATCAATAAAATAAATATTTTGTTAATTATTTATTTTGAAATTATTTATTCCTTACAGAGAAACAAAGAATGAAATTTTCTGGTTTTTATGACGGCGATCAAACAGTGGCTGAACCTCTAAATCAAGTAAGAAAAGGAAAAGTTATTAGACTTGTATTCTCGTCTTCAGGAAGTGAAGTGTGTGTACAGAGTTCTCTCTCCTACTATTCCCCCCCACCCCTTGTTTGGACTGGGTTATTTTTGTGTCCTTCCGCAACATGGAGAGCAGAATAGCAGGTTGAAGTTGCTGTTGAAGCATAGCTTCCTCTGGTTGTCTTGTTCTGCTAGGTGCTCCTCCAAATTCGCCTTTACAAGAAGCACATCTTTTAAAGTCCTTGAAGAATTAGGAATAAACGTATGACAGTGGCAGGAACTGCTGGACCACCTTTCTTTTTTAATTTATCAACCTCCTAAGGTACAGATTAACAGAGTTGGGAGGGACCTTGTAAGTCATCTAGTCCAACCTCACTACACCATTTTGGCAGTCTAGTCTCTTCTTGAAAGCTCCCAGTGATGAAGCTCCCATGAAACTTCTTTTCCATTGTTGCATTGCTTTCACTGTAAGAAAACGTCTCCTTATTTTCAGGTTGAATTTCTCCTTGTTCAGTTTCCATCCATTATTCCTTGTCTGGCCTTCAGGTGCTTTGGAAAATAGCTTGACCCCCTCCTCTCTGCCCCTCAAATATTGGAGCACTGCTACCCTGTCTCCCCTGGTCCTTCTCTTCACTAGACTAGCCATGCCCAGTTCCTGCACCCGTTCATCATATGTTTTAGCCTCCAGTCCCCTCATCATCTCAGTTGCTCTTCCTTGCACTCTTTCTAGAGTCCCAAGATCTTTGTTACATCTTGGCAACTAATACTGGATGCAAAGTTCCTAAGTGTGGTCTTACCAAGGCATTCTAGAGTGGCACTAATACTTCATGTGATCTTGATTCTATCCCTTTCTTAATGCAACCGATGATTCTGTTGGGTGTTTTTTGGCAACTGTAGCACACTGCTGGCTCACGTTTAAGCGATTGTCCACTAGGACTCCAAGATCCCTGTTACACTTACTACTTTTGAGCCAGGCATCACCTATTCTATGGCAGTGCATTTGGTTTTTCTTTCCTAAATGTAGCACATTACATTTCTCACCATTGAAGTTCATTTTGTTAGAAGGTGCCAATCTGTCAATCCTTCTATATCGCGAGCTTATCTTCTGGAGTGTTCGTATTCCTGTCAATTTGGTCTTGTCTGCAAATTTGATGAGTTCCCCTTCTATCCCCTTGTCTAAATCATTGATGATGATGAATAGATCTTGCGAATCTTCCTTTTCTGTTCTTTTTTCCGTGTTCAGGAGAGTCTTGTGTCCTTCGAGGAGGTGGCTGTGTATTTCTCTGAGGAGGAATGGTCTCAGCTGGATCCTAACCAGAAAGCGCTGCATTCGAAAGTCATGCTTGAAAACTATAGGAACGTGGTCTCTCTCGGTAAGAGTTTTCTTGTCCCAAATCAGAGAGTTCAAGAAGATAGATTATATCTGTGTAACATTAAAAGTGTAATAGATGATAAGTGGGATAAAATCAAAGATAGATTGATAAAGTTTAAGATATTAAGAATCGAGGAAAGGGTCAAGAGATTAAGAATTAGATACAACTTGGTCTTATAAAGTGTAATAAAAATGGAGTGCTATGGAATTTGAAATTAAGATCTGTGGTGATAAAATTGTAGGATAAATAATTAGAATAAGAGGTTAGAATATTGTTAAAAATTTTTTTTGATGCTGATGGTAAAAGATATAAGTTGAAGAACAACAAGATATAATTAAGATTGATATACAGATATAAAAATGAGTGAGAGTTAATTTGAAATTAAAATTGTATTGATATAATGGATTTGTTTAGAGGAAGATGTTAGAATTTATGTTAAAACTTGTTCTTTTATGTTTTGAAGTTTTATTTGTAAAAGATGTAATGGGAAATTGTGAACGGAGCTTGTTAAAGAAATGTAAGCGTGGTAACCATCTATGACCGGATCGAGACTCTGCTCTTGAAAGCTATATTTTATGTTTAAGTTTGAAAAAAAAAATAAAAAAAATATTTACAAAAAAAAAAAAAGAAGAAGACAGATTATACTTACTTTTTATTTAAAAAAATCACTAATCAGATATTGTCTCCTGGGAAGGAGAAGGGAAGGATCTGGCCTTCTCGTACCCCAAGGAAGGAAAGAGTCAGTGTCTCTTTGCTGAGGTCCTTTTGGGGCATTCCTTATCTGTATTTTTCCATTTCTATTTGAACTTATCTGTGGAGGCTGAGAATAATGAGGTGTGCTTTTATGTGTCCTCTGGAGATCATGTGAGAAGAATGTGTTTGTCATTTGTTCTCTGAAACCTCCCCAAATTGTGTGGGAATAGAACTTTCACGCTCAGGCCATGGAAGAGCATTCTCCCAATCCAATTCAAGAACAAAGGCCTCATGAAATATGACTCAGAGCATCCTAGGATACAGGTGATCTCCGAGTTACGACAGTTCACTAAGCAACCATACCAGCCCTCTCCTAGTCCTGAAATAATGAATGTTACAGCACCACAGCCGTCATTCACACTTACAAATGACAGGCGTTGCAACAACAATCATCCTACCTGCACCCCCACCCCACCCTGCTCGGACTTATGTTACGAGGCTGTAGCGAGCCATCGGTTCCTTTGCCTGCTTGGGTGCATTTGCAGAAAAAAAAAGGCCTAAATTAGTGAGAGATACACAAGATCAATAGTGGGAAATCTGGCACTACTGATCTCACATGATCTTACACTACAATAGTTTAGGCCTCTGTTCTCTTCTCACCAAGGCCTGCACGAGATCCAGGGCAAAATGCTTTGGAAACAAAGGGGAGGCCTCTTTGTTTTCAAAGACTTTTGCCCTGGATCTCGTGCAGTCCTCAGTTTGTAGGGAACACAGGACTAAAGTACTGCAGCCTGAGATCCCGCAAGATCATTAGTGTGAGATCTTGCATTTCTCGTGTGATCTCGCACTAAAGTAGTTTAGGCCTCTGTTCTCTGCCATCAGAAGCCTGTACCAGACCCGGCCAAAAAGCCCTTGTAAGCTGATGAGACTTTGGGGCAGCAAAATAGCCATTCTTGAAGCCTCCCAATCTTTCCAGTCTCAGCGCGATGAGCGTTTACAAGCCAATGGGAGGCTTCAATCAAGGGACTTCGCTCCAAAGTCTCATCGTTGGGATCAAGGAACGGGCCGAGCGGAAGTCCTGTCTGCCAGACAGATGCGGTGGAGTACCTGCTCCAAGGTACACCGGGGAAGAAGGAGCTTTTTTCAAAATGGTTTCAGTTCTCATAGGTCTCTGCTGAAATTAACCCACCTCAATAAATCTTAAGTTTTCTCCTTATTCCTCGTTGGGTGTTTCCTCTGTTTATTCCATGACTCAAAACAGACTTTGATTGAGATTTGCACATATATATATAATTGTAAAGAAAGAGATGTTTTCTAGATATTTTCAAAGCTTTCAGAACTCATGAATATAGAAATCATCCTGTATATATCACACCACTGTAAGCATGCAAATGTAAAACTTAAAAGAATTTTGGAAAAATTCAGAAGGAAATTCACTTGACTTTGTACTGTTTGATCTTTTTCTCTAACCTTGTTATCGTTTTCATTTCTCTTTTGCTTTGAAGGTAATAATGGGCAGGAGAATCAAGATTCCTGTGAACTGCTCCAAATGATCAATGCTAAAGATGGAACGGAGAAGTTTGGAATTCGAATGGAACCAGAAACCCATGATAGAAACCAGTCAAATAATTGGAATCAGGAAAGCTCATCTTCCACCGATGCTCCGATGCAAGACTTTCTTGCCCAACAGGAGAAAATAAGGAAAAAATATATTGGGGAAAGTGTGAAGCCAATCAAAGCTAAATTACAAGTAAAAGAACACTATATAAGCCAAAACAAAGGAGAAGATGCTATAAGAAGACACAACGGACAAAGTTCCAATGGGACATTCATTCCTTCTCTTGGAAATAAGTTCCTTACATTTCAAAAAGTGATAGAAACAAATGAGAAGCCTTACAAATGTTTGGAATGTGGAACATGTTTTAGAACAAGCAGGCAACTTACTTCCCATAAGAGGATCCACACAGGGGAGAAGCCGTATAAATGCACGGAGTGCGAAAAAACCTTTGCTCGAAGAAGTAGTCTTATTTCCCATAAGAGGATCCACACAGGGGAGAAGCCGTATAAATGCATAGAGTGTGGAAAAACCTTTGCTCAAAGAGGTAATCTTATTTCCCATAAGAGGATCCACACAGGGGAGAAGCCGTATAAATGCATGGAGTGTGGAAAAACCTTTGCCCAAAGAGGTAATCTTATTTCCCATGAAAGGTTCCACACAGGGGAGAAACCGTGTAAATGCATGGAGTGTGGAAAGACGTTTGGTCAAAGAGGTCATCTTATTTCCCACAAAATGATCCACACACGGGAGAACCCGTATAAATGCATGGAGTGCGAAAAAACCTTTACACGAAGAAGTAGTCTTATTTCCCATAAGAGGATCCACACAGGGGAAAAGCCGTATAAATGCATAGAGTGTGGAAAAACCTTTGCTCACAAAAGTAGTCTTATTTCCCATAAGAGGGTCCACACAGGGGAGAAGCCGTTTAAATGCATGGAGTGTGGAAAGACCTTTGCTAAGAACTGTGATCTAAGAGCACATGAAAGGTTCCACACAGGGGAGAAACCGTATAAATGCATGGAGTGTGGAAAGACGTTTGGTCAAAGAGGTCATCTTATTTCCCACAAAATGATCCACACAGGGGAGAAGCCATATGAATGCATGGAATGCGAAAAAACCTTTGCTCGAAGAAGTAGTCTTATTTCCCATAAGAGGATCCACACAGGGGAGAAGCCGTATAAATGCATGGAGTGTGGAAAGGCCTTTGCTCGAAGAGGTAGTCTTATTTCCCATAAGAGGATCCACACAGGGGAGAAGCCGTATAAATGCATAGAGTGTGGAAAAACCTTTGCTCAAAGAGGTAATCTTATTTCCCATAAGAGGATCCACACAGGGGAGAAGCTGTATAAATGCATGGAATGTGGAAAGATGTTTTCTGAAAGAGCTCATCTTATTTGCCATGAGAGGATCCACACAGGGGAGAAGCCGTATAAATGCATGGAGTGTGGAAAGACCTTTGCTCGAAGAGCTAATCTTATTTGCCATGAGAGGATCCACACAGGGGAGAAGCCGTATAAATGCATGGAGTGTGGAAAGACCTTTGCTCGAAGAGGTAGTCTTATTTCCCATAAGAGGATCCACACAGGAGAGAAGCCATATAAATGAACGGAGTGTGGAAAGGGCTTTGCTCAGGAAGTTAGTCTTACTTCTCATAAAAGGATCCACGCTCAGGAGAAACTGCGTAGCAATAGTAATTCCATTTAGAATTATATACCAGTCTATAATTCTTTATAGCACTCTGAGCAGTTTACAAAGTCAGCATATGGTCTCCAGCAATCTGGGTCCTCATTTTAACCACTTCAGAAGGATGAAAGCTGAATCAACCATGACCCTGTCAGAATCAAACTTATGGCTGTGGGCAATTAGCCTATAGTACTGCATTCTAACCGCTGATCCACCACCATAGATTTTGATTTGTATTGTGCCTTTCGGATCCAAACAAGACAAGGTAGAATCCAACAAAATGAAATTTAATGTGGAGAAAAGTAAGCTTTTACATCTGGGCAGGAAAACAGATTACCTGAAACCTGGCTGGAAAATAGTAACTGTGAAGGGTCCTTGGAGTCGGAATGGATGATCAATGAAGCATGAATTACCTGTGTGCGGCAGCAGCCAAAAAAACGAATACAATCCTTGGTTGTATAAACAGAGGCATAGAATAAAAATCACATGAAGTATTAGTACCGGTTAATAAAGACTTAGTAAGAAAACCCCTGGAATACCGCATCCTGTTTGGGTCATCACATTGCAAAGCAGATGTTGAAACTTTGGAAAAAGAGCAAAGAAGAGCAGCTAAGCTGATTAAAGGCCGGAAGACTAAAACAAGAACGGTTATAGGAACTGGGCTAGTCTAGTGAAGAGAAGGATCAGGGGGGACAGGATAGCAGTGTTCCAATATTTGAGGGGCTGCCACAGAAAGGAGAGGGTCAATGTCAGGTATGCTTCCTTCAAAGTCCAAGAAAGAATGACCTACCGTTTCCATGGCAGCCAAAGCAGTAAAAGGTGACTATTTTCCAAGGCACCTGAAGGCCAGACAAGGAATAATGGATGGAAACTTATCAAGGAGAGAAGCAACATGGAACTTTCTTAAAGTGAGGACAATTCACCCGTGGAACAGCTTCCCTTCAGATAGCGTGGGTGCTTCCTCACTGGACATTTTTAAGAAGACACTGGACAGTTTCAAGTAACTCCCTCTGATGAGTATATCCACTAGAGCAGAGTTGCAGGCAGAAATTGCCATTAGTCCTGAATCCCTTACTATTATTTCAGCTTTTCTTCCTTTGCTTAATATTATCACAGTCTGCCTTTCCACCATTTCACTTTATACAAGTAATAACAGAAAGAAAACCATAAGGAGAACGGGGTTGTAGTGATGCTGAGTTAGAAAATGCAACTCATAGGCTCTTTGTACTAATTTTGTGGTGATCTTTCCTTGCCTTCCCTCGTGTTGCCCATCTCTGGACTCACACAATCTTATCAATACATTTTTTAAAGTGAAGTTTCCAGAACTGGACACAGTATTCCAAATGGAGTCTCACTAAAGCCCTATGTAGAGGGATAGGAGCTCCTTTTTGCTGATGGTGATTGCATCTCAGAATTTTGTTTGCCTTCCCAGCTGCCTGGCTACACTGCTTACTTATGTTGCAGATATCATCGTTTCAGTGCCATGGCAACTACTTTCACAGAGTTGTGTAAAAGAAGGGAAGAGAAAGCAGTGGTAGGGATATGTGGATGCATTTTAAGTTCCCATAGGTAGGCAGCCTGCTGGCCCACCCAGGCAGTCCCTGATTTACAATAATTTATTAAGTAACCCTTTGAAGTTCCAATGGCAATAAATAATGGCTCTGACCTCCTCCTTCCCTCCCTCCCTCCCTCCCAAATTAGGCCTACTCCAGGATATGAGAATGAAAACCAGTCTGGTGTGCTAACATTGCAAAGGATCAATCAAGAAGGAAGATCTTTGGAAATCAATGGGGACCAAAATAAGATGAAATTAAGAACTACTTCAAAAAATTACTTCAGTCCTTCCTGATGAAACACGCAGAAATGCGAATGGGAACTTTCTCTGGGATGTCCAGATACCAAAAATAATCCAGCCTGCCAACAAAGGAGACAATGTGTAGTGTCTGATTGAATTGAGGGGTCCTTGGTGGTCTCTGAGCTTGATTGTGTTGTTGCAGACCTTTCATTAGCCAAAGGAGGGAAGATCATCAGTGCTCCAACCAACCTCAGAGGGCACCAAGGACCCCTCAATCCAACTTGCATCCACTGTGTCAAATTAATACCTTTGTCAATGAGGATGAATGCAGCATCAAGGAACCGTTTTAGGCCAAAGACCTCTTAGGATGTGATGGAATAATGAGAGATGTCAATGTAGACTGCATGCAGAAAGCTTCAGGGTGAACAATTTGCCTTTCAAGCAAGAAAATACATTTTTCAAGCATTAGGGACGCGTTCTTTTTTTATGATGTATCATAACATTAAGTAACTTAAAATTAACTATCAGTCATGTAGTTACTTGCTAAAGATGCATAAAATTCTCAATGGAGCCTTCAGCTTTCCTTGTTTTGCTTTTGCTTTTTCATTTTCTTTTTTCATTTATGGTCTAATGATATATCCCTGCCTTCAATTCTCCAAGGGCCTTAAGCTTCCTAGTCACATTTCTTGAGGTGAATTTCCTACTCAATCCCTATGTAAAAATGGTTTTTCCTCCTCATAGTTTAGCTTTCTATTCCTTTTTCAGGATCTTCCTTTTCTTTCATCAGAAGAGACCGGAGGGGTCCCTGCCCTTTCTTCTCCCCCCTTTGCTGGGAGGCTGAGCGAATAGTGTGGGAAGGGCAGCTGCATGTATTGAATTAAATAAAAAAGAAATAAAAACATTTTCCTGAATTGTGGCCTTCCTGCCTGTGTTCCATCTGCCTCCCAACAACCGCAAGACACAAGCTGTCTTTCCCAGAGAGCCTCCTGGTCCTCCTCTTCTGGCTGTTTCTGACAGGATTTGGACCCTTTGGAGGCCTCCCACAATCTCTGTGGAGCCTTCAGGGCGGCTGTCCTTGAGGGAAGCGAGTTCAAATCCTCCAGAGAAATTTTTCTCCATCTCCACAGAGGGTTCCTGGACAGGAAGGAAAGGAAGATGGAGAAAGAAATTGAGAGGGCCGTTTCCTTCTACTCCCAAGCCCATCATCCCTGTTCTCCCTTCCCCTCAGACGCGCTCGTATTTCCCGCCCTTTCTACAATCCTGGCACTTTGCCCCTAATCCACCAGGGGGAGCCCTATGCTAAAAAAAAGTAACGTCATGCGCTTCCCCATTGGTCCAGCGGAGGGTGAACGTCACAGCTGCCTTTCCATAGGAGGGTGGGAAGGAAATGATATCACAAATACTTGCCGCTCTAGGACTCCGCACTCGCTCGCCTTAACCCCTGGGGCTCCATAGGAGGCGGAGAGGCTACGGGAGAGTCTGGCGGGGGGAGATCCAGACGTTCCCCGGGTGAGTTGGGGGCTCTTCCCGGGCAAAGGGAGGCGGAGGAGGGAGAGACCCGCCCCTGGCCCCCCTCCGGCTTCCACCCCGGGTCCCATGCTCCCCAGCCGCCCTCTCCATGCAGGGGGATCCTTCCCGCCCCCTGTCTGAGGAAGAGCCCGAGTGGGGGGAGGGGAGGGTCGGCCTTGCGGAGGCCCAGCAGGAGGGGAGAGAAGCCGGGCGAGGAGGAGGCAGGATTCGCACCAGGCTCCCTGTGTCCGGAGCGGGAGAGAAGCGGGGCGGCCTCTCCAGCTGCCTCCTTCCCAGCCCTGCTCGGGGGCACCTCAGTCCTGCGCTGGGATGAGCCTCTTGGGGCTCCGGGGAGGTTGGGGGAAGGTCGCTCAGTGGCTGAATTCCACTTTCTAATTCTTAATATTTATTTTTTCTTCCCATCTCAGATACAGAAACTGGAAGCCATTTGTGGTCTTTGCAAGGCAAACTTTCCTCTTGGGGGAAGAAGAAAAAGAGCGGAATCCCTTGGAGGGATCAGTCCTGCAGCCCCAGAAATGGTCCCGTGAAGGAAAAGGCACCTGGAGACCCACCAGAGTGCTTGGAGCCATTTGCAGTTGCTCTGCAGGACAGAGAAAGGATGGAGACACAACCTTTTGGAAAGGAGGGAGCCGGAAAAGGCCCTTCAGCTGCTCAGCCTGGGAAGGGGGGGAAGCTCTGGACAAGGACTGGGCAGGAGATCCTGGAGGACGAAACCGTCCTCCCTTCAGAAGTTCAGCCCTGGAACTCCATCCAATACCGGGAGGCTGAGGGTCCCCGAGGACTTTGCAGCCGACTCCATGGCTTTTGCAGGCGATGGCTGCGACCAGAAAAGCACACCAGAGCTGAGATGCTGGACCTGGTGGTTCTGGAGCAGCTCCTGGCTCTTCTGCCCCCAGAGATGGAGAGCTGGGTGCGGGAGTATGGAGCAGAGACCAGCTCCCAGGCGGTGGCCCTGGTGGAAGGCTTCCTTCTGAGCCAGGTGGAGGAACAGAAGGAGCAAGTCGAGTTGCAGGTAAGAGTTCAATAGAGAATAGAGAATCTGTTTGAATACTTCACCCCTCCTTCCCAAACCTCTCTGACAGTGATAATATGTGGCAATGTCCCACGTATTCTAGTAAGACATTGTTCCATTGTTTTCTCATATTTCTCACATAACCACATTGATGGATATTGGGGGCTTTGAGGCTGTGTTCCGAATATAGGAATCCATTTTACGTCATCGTATGATGTACATTAATTCTGTTTCTTCCTTCTTCCTATTGGAAGTGCTGCACTGTGGAAATCAGAGATCCTGAGGGAAAGAAGAACCCATCAAATCCTCCCCAGGAGCTATTTTTCAGGAGGATCCCTTGGAAGGATCAAAGTCGGGACACTTTAGGAGGTAACTGAAGATCTTCCCATTACCCATCTGTCTTACCTTCACTTTCTCTTCTTTCCTATACAATACCTCCTCCTATTTATACTTCTCCACACTAATTGCATCTACAGATAATTGCCCAGCGACCCTCTTCAGGTGAGCCTACTGCTCTTGGGGGAAGGAGGAT